CCCCCCCCCCAAAAAAAAAGACGTGGGACTGACAGGATTCAAGATGTAAGGGAAATTTGAATAATTAATTTCACGCCAAAATCATGGCAAAGGTAAAGGTGTTCAGCAGAATGGTGACCAAGGCAGAAGCGACGAAGGCGTATTTGTTGATCCTGTGCGCTAAGCGTCTACGGTCGGTGGGCTGGTTAGCGCGTGCAGTCCTCTGTGTGTCAGCAAAACCCTGATCAACACGTCCAGTTGTCGTATGGTGTGGTAGGCAAATCAGGAATATGTCTGCCTGAGAGTCGGTCCGTCTGTAAATATTCTCCATGTTTGTTTCTGTATTATTAGTATTCCTCCTAGAACTTCCCATCTCTTGGACTGCCGGCGGAGGTTTTGAGAGGAATGCTCTGGTGGTCACATTCGAAAGCTTCTTGTGGCCGTCGTCCAGATCAAAGGGTAGAGCAATCCTCGCGATGAGAAGAACCAGACAGGCGATCGAGCCGCTGATGAATATGCAAGAAGACGCCAGCATGCCGATATAGCAGACGTATTCCGTGGAGCCGGGCAGGACGTCACTCAGACTGGACAGCATCACGGTGTAGGACAACAGCAGAGCCACAGAGAATGAGACTCGCTCGCCGTGATCCACAGGCAGGGCAAACACGAAGGGGTTCAGAAGGGACAGGGCTAAGACGGGCACCACGGCACTCATGAAGTAAAAGTTTGGGGTTCTGGCCAACACAAGGGTCACCTCTACGACCTGACGCCCGATTTCCTGTGCCTTTACCTCGACCACGCTAACACTCGCATTCTTGAGCACCCAATCAATGCTCACTCTGAGGAGAGAGGACATGTATTGGTAACTGTTGTACCTCATTGTTGATGGTTGTAGACGGTTTTACCCTCCCCCAAGCACACCCCGCCCCTATCAACACAATTAAGATCAGTAAAGAGGCGGGCTGCTTAAACCCTGCCTGTCGGAGCCGACCCGGGTTGAGAGGAATTCAGCCTCTCAGCTTACAGGTGTAGGTTAAACAAGTTTCCCACATGGCAATCAAGCTCATTTTTTTTCCACAGGCAAAGGCTCAGAGTGTAATCATAACACCATAGACGTCAGAGAGTTGAGTCTCTTTCAGAAACACAATTTTCAAAGGTATGTGTGAGGTTGGTTTGGGGGGGGGGGGAGACTTGGTTCTGGGATTAGACTATGGAAAAAGAGGCAGAGCAGAACGTGCATTGAAATGGTGCGCTAAAGAAAAAAAATATCACCCATACAAATGTATATTCAGAGACTGAACTAGACTTTCCATGAATGTTATCATGTGTTTGAAGGTGCTACCGATATTGCTGATGAGCAGAGTGTAGGTTTGTTACATGAAACGTTGAATTTAAAGAATAATTCGATGGCAACTATTGAAATGGTATTTCTTCGTATTAACAACCGCTAGCATTACAGTTGCCCGAATATTTAACGTCAACAGAAAAACTGACGTTGAATGTACTGTCAACAACAGCAACGCGCACAGCATGCCGAAGGCTCGATTTCTCTGATGTTGAATCAAACCTTCCATCTACTGTGTAAAACATGAATGTCCTAATGTGGCCTAATACTAAACACGAATTCTAGTGCATTTAAGTATAGAAGATGGGTTTTCAGAGAGTTTACTATAGAACACAATGTCATAATTATATGAAACACGAGCCTTTCATAATCTATCAAAAACTTTACCTCTTTTCAATTGTGCACCAGCACACACACACACACACACACACACACACACACACACAC